GGGGGAGGACGGTGACGACGAGGACGGCGACGAGGACGACAAGGGGGGCGAGGGTAACGGCGACGACGACGACGGCCGGCCCCGCCCGCGCAAGCAGGGGCTCCCCCAAAGCCCGCGCTGCGCGGGCTCACAGAACTCCTCTGCTGGCTCGCAGCGCGCAGCGGCCCCTCCTTTATACTCCTCCCCTCCTCCGTCCCTCCTCCTCCTCCTCTCCTCCCCTCTCCTCCCTCCCTCCTCCTCTCTCCCTCCTCCCTCCTCCCTCCTCCCTCCCTCCCTCCCCTCCCCTCCTTCCTCCTCCCTCCTCCTCCTCCCTCCTCCCTCCTCCTCCTCCTCCTCCTCCTCCTGCTCCTCCCTCCTCCTCCTCCTCCTCCTCCTCCTCCTCTTCCTCGAGAGAACAGAGAACACCGACCAACAAGCAAACGACACCTCCTCACCTGCCGCCCTCCCTGTTGCGCTGCGGCTCCTCAGAGGCCGTGGCGCATACCGCGTCACAGCCCACGCAGGAGTTCCTGGGTCACGCTAAGCCCCGTGGGGCCGTAGGTGGGGTGGGGTCGTTTGTCCTCTGGTCCAGAGCAGAGAACAGAACAGGTTTTCGTGTCCCAGGACCGTCAAAAGCGGATTCAGAGGAGAACGTACGGTCGAGGCGCTGAAGAAGGAACCCTTTTTGTTGGGGAGGGGCTCCGTGTTCCCTAGTTGCTTTACAGTGTTCCTTGGGTTTTCCTGAGGTTTTCCATGGAACATCGGAGTTTATTTTCATGGGAAAAAGGGGCCTCGTTCCTTCTTGATGGCTCCTTGAGTCAACTCCCCGACGGTACACCGGGTGGACCCGGGGAGGGGTCCAGGGACCTTCTGTAAAGGGATCCGCCTTCGCTCCAGGCTTGGTTGTGGCGCTCTCTCCTCCTCGCGGATCCCTCTCCCTCCCGCGTGCGGCACGCTCCCTCGCCTTCCGGGCCACGGCTCGGCGCGCAGGTCCGCTCGTGGTGGGCCAATGTTCCACCACCCTTGCCATAGGTAGGATGGGGAGACAGGAGGAAGGGGAGGCCCTCCTCCTCCTCCTCCTTCTTCTCGAGCTTCCTCCCTCCTCCTCCTCCTCCTCCTCCTCCTCCTCCTCCTCCTCCTCCTCCTCATCCTTCTTCTCCAGCTTCCTCCTCCCTCTCTTACCTATGGTAAATCAGCCCAGCAGCTCAGGCGGTGCTCCCCAGCGTGTCTGGCAACTCTCTGACCCTCCCAGAGCGGCCGAGGCCGAGCCGGGGGGGAGCTTCTGTGGTCGCGCAGGGCTCGGCCCAAACGGTGTTTTTCCCAACCATCCTGTGGCGTTGGGTCCTCGTCTTGCAGAGACGGTCCCTGCGTTCCTCCTTCCTTCCTTCCTTCCTTCCTTCCTTCATTCATTCCTCCTCCCCTCCTCCCTGCACCGCCTGCATGCGTCACGCACACCCGTTTCGACACACACACACACACACACCTCGCACGTTTCGTGGCCCTACAGGCAGCTCCACCGAAGGCCCAAGTGCTACCGCCCGCATGCGTCACGCACACTCATTTCGGCAAACCCCTCACACGTTTCGTTGCCCCACAGGGAGCTCCACCGAAGGCCCCAGTGCCACCGCACGCATGCATCACGCACACCCATTTCGGCACACCCCTCACACAGGGAGCTCCACCGAAGGCCCCAGTCCCACCTGCCGCATGCGTCACGCACGCCTATGTCGGCACAGCCCTCACACGGTTCGTAGCCCCATAGGGAGTCCCACTCAAGGCCCAGCATGCGTCACGCACACCCATTTCGGCACACCTCTCGAGCGTTTTGTGGCCCCACAGGGAGCTCCACCAAAGGTCCCAGTGCCACCGCCCGCATGCGTCACGCACACCCATGTCGGCACACCCTTCACACGTTTCGTGGCCCCACAGGGAGTTCCACCGAAGGTCCCAGTGCCACCGCCCGCATGCCTCCCGCACACTCATTTCGGCACACCTCTCACACGTTTCGTGGCCCACAGGGAGCTCCACCGAAGGCCCCAGTGCCACCGCCGGCATGCGTCACGCACACCCATCTCGGCAAACCCCTCACACGTTTCGTGGCCCTGTAATGTCAGCTTGTGATTAGCAAATCCGTGGTGGGAGCGTGTTTGAAAACATATCCCCCCTGCTCGGGCGAATCGCGGGTTGGCGCCCGCCAGATTGAAAATTAACGGGGCGGCGCCGGTGATTAGCGCCGACGCCCGTCCGCCAAAGAGGGGCAAGAGGGGGTTTTCGGAGGCAAGGGCGAGCCAGGGCGCCCCTCTTTCTGTCGAACCGATGCGGGCCTGCGGGCAAGGCGGCGGGCTGGACGAACGTGGGGCGCAGCAGAGGGGGGACTTGCCAAGCAGCTCACGTCGCCGTTTTTCCAAGCGCCTCCTGGCGCCGAAAGCGGCCATGCGTCGAGTACTGGTCCTTCGGCGGGGCGACCGGAACAAGCTGCGCGCAGCAGGCTTTGCGAGCCCTCCTTTGCTTCCCCGGCCTGTCGTCCGACCCGAGCCACGCGGGCAGTCCTCCTCCCCACCTCTGTCGCCGTCGTCGTCGCCGCCCCCCGCCCTGCCTGCGCCCGTTTCCAGCGGCCGCTCTCGTCGACGACGACGACGACGACGACGGGACGAGGACGAGGCCGACGGACGGCGGACGGCAGACGGCGACGGCGGCGTCGACGACGACGCATTGCGGATGCCCTGTGGGGGGGGGTTCCGCGCAGGCCCGCTGCAGTCGACGACGACGACGAAGACGACGACGACAAGGACGACGAAGACGACGACGAAAACGACGACGACGACGACAGCGGCGACGACGACGACGCCTGAGATGGAGAACGGAAATTCGCCTCGGATGTGTACGACCGTTATAACAGCTTCTACACGAAAGGCAATCGTTTTGAGGCTGTCATGCAGGGGGGTACACGATCCCCGCGGCGCTAAGGCGGGAACCACATTTTGACAAGGAGCGACCCTCAATCCGTGAAGCTCTCGAACTTGTTTAATGAATTTGCGCGGCGCTAACGCGAGAGCCACATTTCGAATACGATCCGCCCTCAATCCGTGAAGCTCGTACAAATGTTTGAACGAATGCGCGCGGCGCTTATACGATATCCACATGTTGAAAAGAGGAGCCGCCCTCAGTCCGTGAAGCTCTTACAGCTTGCTTGAACGAATGTGCGCGGCGATCCGTGAAGCTTTTGCGAATTTCACGACTGCGCGCGGCGCTGAGTTTCCGAGTCATAAGTGGTAAAGAAATCTCATGCGAAACGCCCGACCTGCCGTGAAAACTGGCCCCGGGGTGCGACCGGGAAAACTGATCTAGAAATCGAAGGAATGGAGGAGGTGGAAGCTGGAGGAGGAGGAGGGGGACACGGAGGAAAAGGTGGAAAAGAGGGGGAGGAGGAGGCTGCAGGAGGAGGCGAAGGAGGAGGAGGAGGAGGAGAAGGAGGAGGAGGAGGAAGAGGAGGAGGAGGAGGAGGACGAGGAGGAGAGGGAGGAGGAGGGGGAACAGAAGGATGAGGAGGAAAAGGATGGGGGATGATGATGATGATGATGATGATGATGATGATGATGATGATGATGGATGATGATGATGATGATGATGCTGATGCTGCTGCTGATGATGATGATGATGATGCTGCTGCTGCTGCTGATGCTGATGCTGATGCTGATGATGATGATGATGATGATGATGATGATGATGATGATGATGGTGATGGTGATGGTGATGATGAGGATGAGGATGAGGATGAGGATGAGGATGAGGATGAGGATGAGGATGAGGATGAGGATGAGGATGAGGATGAGGATGAGGATGAGGATGATGATGATGATCATGATCATGATCATGATTCATGATCATGATCATGATGATCATGATCATGATCATGATGATGTTGATGATGATGATGATGAGGAGGAGGAGGAGGAGGACAGGAGGAGGACAGGGAGGAGGCGGAGGAGGAGGAGGGGAGGGGGAGGGGAGGAGGAGGAGGAGGAGGAGGAGGAGGAGGAGGAGGAGGAGGAGGAGGAGGAGGAGGAACAGGAGGCTGGAGGACAGGAGGAAGAGGAGAGGAAGAGGAGGAGGAGGAGGAACAGGAGGCTGAGGAGGAGGAGGAGGAGGAGCAGCAGCAGGAGGAGGAGGAGGAGGAGAAGGAGGAGGAGGGGTGGTAGAGGGACCCCCTCTTGGGAGACCCAGCCTGACCTGGTGCTTGAGTTGACCGCGCGGAGCCGTTTGGAAGAGGGCCTTTGCCAAGTCCGAGGGCCTTAGAAGCCACCACGTCGTCGTCGTCAGCGGTCGCCGTGCTTTCGCTCATTGCCTCGCCGATCGGCGCGGGCCCCCATCCCCCCTTGATCCCACCCTTTCTTCTTCCACCTCCTCCTCCTCCTCCTCCTTCTCCTCCTCCTCCTCCTCCTCCCTGTCCTCCGCCTCCTCCTCCTCCTCCTCCTTGAACGTACGGCTCAGCTCCCTTCTCTCCCTGGGCGCTGTGGTGCCCACGGGGGCCAGATTAGGGTCGTTTTGTTGGGCGGCTACTCCTGGCGACTGCTCATGGCCCCTCTCCCCCCACCTGTTGGCGCGGCTGGCACATGCAGATCGACCAAGCGCGTGCCCAGACCCAGGCCCCACCCCCTCGTCCCCACCCTTGGGTCAAATGTCGACACCCAGAATACAGTCGGCTCTGATTAGTATCAGAGCCTGAATTACCTACCCCGCTTGCGCTTCCAGGCAAAACCAAGCCATACCACGCGCCTCCTCGTCAAGCGGCCTGACCAGTACAGGCCGTAGTTGGGCATCGTTTGGAATCTCTCGGAAGCGAGGGTGGTCAAAAGCGAGGTAGGTTTGGTTTCCCCCTATAGTAGGTCGACCCTGTCAGTTCAAGGGTACCCCTGTGTCCTGTGCCTCGCGGCACGTGCCTTCTTGCAGCCTTCCTCCTCCTCCTCCTCCTCCTCCTCCTCCTCCTCCTCCTCCTCCTCCTCTTCCTCCTCCTCCTCCAGGATGGGTACGAGACCCTGCGGCTCGCGCTGCGCCTCACGGCGAGCACGCTCGGGCAGCGGCAGCCGCCAGGCGCGGTCGTGTGGCGCCTCGGCCGTCGGCGGTGGCGGCGGCCTCTGCGGCGGCGCTGGGGCGGCGCGACGGCAAGGATTAAGTCGATACAGGGGGATTTCGGACGAAACATAAGAGGTAATCGACAAAAGAAGCTCCCAGATGGTCCAAGATAGGTTAAACAAAAGTGGGCCTGTCCCCCCATACAGGGGGATTTTGGACGACAAATAAGAGGTAATCGAAACATGCTCCCAAGTGGCCCCAAATAGTAAAACAAAAATAGTTCCCAGCGCATTTTTTACCATTTTGGAATATTCCTCCTGTAGAGAGACGTGCCCGACTTAAGGCAAGGACACGGGACCCCCGGATGCACCAGGAGCGTACCATCGGGCAACAGGCAATGACACACGAGTAGATATTCGAAGGTCCGCGCAGGTTTCTTGGCTCCGTGAGGTTCATATTCATGCCGTTCGTTGTTTTCGACGAGAAGCCCCAGGAGGCAGCCTCAGAGGCGCCAAAGATGGCCCCAAGGGTACCACAGAAGAGCCCCAGAGGGGTTCAGGAGGCCCCTGCGAGGGCATGGCGACGCTCGAAGAGGCAATCACAACAGGCCGAAGCGCCTGGCGTAGCTTTCTCAGGCGTTCCTTACGCTCTCTGCACCAGCCTTCACGCATCCCTCATCATGCCATGTGAACGTCGTGGGTGTTGCCACGATCCCCAAAGAGTGCTTGCACTTGGGGGCTCTCATTTGTGCTCCAAGACTTACAGAACTGGGCCCCGTGTTCCCGCTGGCTCGTGAACGCCCGTCGCCGCCGTCGCCGCTGGGCCTCAGTGATGGTCCAGCCAGCTCGTCGCCGCCCGTCGCCGCGTGGGTTTGCATGGCGTTGCATTTCGATCGTCGACCCCCTGGCCCTGGCCCTCGTAGCCCGCCCTCGGGTCGATCCTCCCGCATCCCCGTACTCGATCCTGGATCCCCCCTTCCTCGATCCTCGACCCCCTTCCTCGATCCCCCTTCCTCGATCCTCGATCCTCGACCCCCTTCCGAGGTCCTCGATCCCCCTTCCTCGATCCTCGATATCCCCCTTCCTCGACCCCCGAGCCCCCGTCCCCGATCCTCGGCCCCCCCGGCCCTCGATCCTGCAGCATCTCCCCGTCCTTGACCCTCGCTCCGCCGCCCTCGATCCTCGATCCCCCGGCCCCGATCCTCGCTTCCCCCGCCCTCGATCCTCGCTCTCCGTCCCCCTCCCCCCCCACCCCTCCACCCCACCACCATAGGGACGAGACGAAGGAGGAGGAGGAGGAGGAAGAGGAGGAGGAGACGAAGGGGACGAAGGAGACGGAAGAGGAGGCGGGGGAGGACGAGGAGGAGGAGGAGGAGGCGGAGGAGGAGGAGGCGGAGGCGGAGGAGGAGGAGGAGGAGGAGGAGGAGGAGGAGGAGGAGGGCGCCCCCCCCCGCCGCGGCTGCGCCGGGCCTCCGACGCGCCCGCCCCCTCGCGCCTCGTCGCCTCGTCGCCTCGCCCCGCCGGCTGCGCCCGCCCCGCCCCCCCGCGTGTCGCGGCGCGGAGTCATTTTGTGTTTTGCACGTGCACTTTGCTTTTTGTTTTTTGCACGTGCACTTTGCTTGTTGCTTTCTGCACGTGCGCTTGCATTCATTGCACGTTTTTGCTGCAGGTGTGTTGCCTGTTGCAGCAGTTCGCCTCGCCTGCTGGCCCGGTCGACGCCTTCCGCTCCGTGTCCGCCGCCACGGAGCCGCTAACCAAAAAAGCGTCGCGGCGCGGCGGCCCCGCCCCGCCCCCGCGCGGCCGCCCCGCAGAGGTCCTCCGTGGGACCCCGCGGCCGTCCAGGACGGCGGCGCGGCGTCGGCCGCCCCCGTCGGCCGCCGCCGTCGGCCGCCGCCGTCGGCCGCCGCCGTCCGCGGCCGCCGTCCGCGGCGTCGTTTGGACGTCGTCGTCGTCGTCGCCGTCGACCGTCGCTCGTTCGGCCGTCGTCGTCGTCGCCGTCGGTCGTCGATCGTCGGTCGTGCTGCTCTGCGCGCGGTGGTCGGTGTGCGTCGCGTCGGCCTCGTCGTGGGCGTCGTTGTCGGGCGGGGGGGGGGCGTCGGAGGGAGCAGCTGCGCGAGCGGGATTCGTTTTTTCCCCAACCATCCTGTGGTGTTGGGTCCTCGTTTTGAAGAGACGGTGCCCCGCGTTCCTCCTTCCTTCCTTCCTTCCTTCCTTCCTTCCTTCCTTCCCTCCTCCTACTCCTCCTACTCCTCCTTCTCCTCCTCCTCCTCCTCCTCCTCTTCTTCTTCCTCCCTCCTCCCTGCGTTTCACCCACCCAGTACAGCGTTTCGTGGCCCCACAGGGAGCTCCACCGAAGGCCCCAGTGGCAGGGTTCGCATGGCGGCCCCGCGCCATTCTGGCGCACCCCTCACACGGTTCGTGGCCCCATAGGGAACTCCACCGAAGGCCCCAGTGGCAGGGTTCGCATGGCGGCCCCGCGTTTTGGCGCACCCCTCACACGGTACGTGGCCCCATAGGGAGCTCCACTGAAGGCCCCAGTGGCAGGGTTCGCATGGCGGCCCCGCGCCATTCTGGCGCACCCTTCACACGGTTCGTGGCCCCATAGGGAACTCCACCGAAGGCCCCAGTGGCAGGGTTCGCATGGCGGCCCCGCTCCATTTTGGCGCACCCCTCACACGGTTCGTGGCCCCATAGGGAGCTCCACCGAAGGCCCCAGTGGAAGGGTTCGCATGGCGGTCCCGCGCCATTTTGGCGCACCCGTCACACGATACGTGGCCCCATAGAGGGCTCCACCGAAGGCCCCAGAGGCAGGGTTCGCATGGCGGCCCCGCCCCATTCTGGCGCACCCCTCACATGGTTCGTGGCCCCATGGAGGGCTCCACCGAGGGCCCCAGTGGCAGGGTTCGCATAGTGGCCCCGCTTCATCTTGGCGCACCACTCACACGGTTCGTGGCCCCATAGAGGGCTCCACCGAAGGCCCCAGAGGCAGGGTTCGCATGGCGGCCCCGCGCCATTCTGGCGCACCCCTTACACGGTTCGTGGCCCCATAGGGAGCTCCACCGAAGGCCCCAGAGGCAGGGTTCGCATGGCGGCCCCGCCCCATTCTGGCGCACCCCTCACACGGTTCGTGGCCCCATGGAGGGCTCCACCGAGGGCCCCAGTGGCAGGGTTCGCATGGTGGCCCCGCTTCATCTTGGCGCACCACTCACACGGTTCGTGGCCCCATAGAGGGCTCCACCGAAGGCCCCAGAGGCAGGGTTCGCATGGCGGCCCCGCCCCATTCTGGCGCACCCCTTACACGGTTCGTGGCCCCATATAGGGAACTCCACCGAAGGCCCCAGTGGCAGGGTTCGCATGGCGGCCCCGCCTTTTGACGCACCCCTCACATTGTTCGTGGCCCCGTAGGGAAGTCCCCTGGCTTCGTCCCACCTGCCTTGCGTCTGTCACACTTGCGTATGGTGGGGTCTTTCGCCCGGATAAGTTTTTGTGTGTGAGGGGGGGGGGGGGGAGCGCCGCGCGGGCGTGCGGAGGGAAGGGGCGGGCCGCCTAGAACAAGGCGCGGAGGAGGAGGAGGAGGAGGAGGAGGAGGAGCAGTGCAACAGAGGAGGAGGAGGAGGAGGAGGAGGAGGAGGAGGAGGAGGAGCATAAGCAGGAGGCAGCATCAAAGGAGGATCAAGAACACATGCCGCTACTCTTCCCTCGTTTTTTCCCCTTTTGTTGGCCCCCTCTGGGCCGCCCTCGTCGCAGCCGCTGGAGCTCCGCCGCGAAATGCTCAGGTCGGACCGCACCGCAGGGATAGGTCTCGGGAGCCGCGGTATTATTGGTACCTCTTGGCTTCCTCAGAAGGGGGGGGGGATGAGCAGGAGGGGAGAGGAAGTCAAAGAAGGACAAACGCCATAAACATAGACTGTTGGCGCTCTGCTGGGAATTCTTGGATCCGCGCTGGGCCCCCCTCCGCCTCTGGCGCTGCCAGGGTAGATCCAAACAAATCCGCGCGGGCCGCCAACAGTTTATGCTTATGCCGTTTTCTTATTACTCGTCGTATTCCTCGTCATCTTCTTCCTCTAGGGTTGGGAGCAGCCTGAGGGGGGGCAGCATGGAAAGCACCCGGGGGAGTGGAGCAGCAGCAGACGGAGGTGGGGCAGGCGGAGGGAGGAGGAAGAGGGCCAGGAGGGGGAAAAAAAAAACAGACACACTTAATCGTCGATTCCCCAGAAAATATGGGACAATATGGGAAGTGGGGGGGAAGACAAAAAACCAGAACATAGGGGGAATCCTGTTATTTGTGTGTATTTATTTGCGTGTCCCTGGGCCCCTTCAAAGAGGGCCAGGAGGGTCCAGGTGGGCGGGCCGCTCTCTGCGAAGCGTCCGCGACGGGAGCATCACGATCTGGAGAGCCTGCCCTGCAGCCACGGCGATGATAAAGATCCATAGGAGCGGGGGCATCCCGAAGCAGGCTTTGCATGATCACTGTTTGCTGGGTTTGGGCCATTCAGTCCGGGCCATACCCATGGTTCCCTGTGGGCTTGCCGTGATGCTGCTACAGCGTGCGTGCAAGTGGTGGATGCTGCTGAAGCGTCGCGATCGTCCCCTCAGCATTCCTCATTCTCCTCCAACGCTGCGCTGAAACTAAAATTTGGTGCTGGCCCCGTGCGGAGGTCGTGGATGTGAGCGTCGCTCATGCAGACGCCGGTCTTCTACAATCGTTTCCCCTGGTCACCGATTGACTGTTCGGCCTCACGAAGCGCTGGGAACGAGGAGGAGGTGGAGGGGGAGGAGGAGGAGGACGAGGAGGAGGAGGAGGAGGAGGAGGAAGAAGAAGGAAGAGGAGGAGGAAGGGGAGGAGGAGGATGAGGTGGGAGGTGGCCCGTCCTGAGCAGAACCCCTTGCAGTACTGAGGCGCAGGTGCCACGACACGAGAGCGGAGCATCTGGTAAATTTGGCAACAGCAATAGCTATGTATAATATATACATACGACCACTCTTCAGGTGATAAGGAGGTTGTGGGGGGGAGCGGGAGAGGGGGGAACCAACACCTGACTCAATCGATCTCACTATCGATCTCACTTCTTGGGGCACCACTGGACACTGGTCGATCTTACAATCGATCTCACTATCGATCTCACTCAACGGGACACCACGGGCCACCATAGGACACAACGTGACACCGCGGGACACTTCTCGATCGCATTATCGGTCTCACTATCGATCTTACTATCGATCTCACTCAACGGGACACCATAGGACACCACGGGACACCTCGGGACACCACATTGATCTCACTATCGATCTCACTATCGATCTCATTATCGATCTCACTCAACGGGACATCACGGGACACCATCGGACACCTCGGGACACTTGTCGATCTCTCTCTTTACCGCTCTCACTATGGATATCATTTTTTGGGGCACCACGGGACACCTCGGGACACCACATCGATCTCACTATCGATCTCACTCAACGGGACACCACGGGACACCTGTCGATCTCACTATCGATCTCATTATCGATCTCACGTTTTGGGACACCACGGGACACCTCGGGGCACAACATCGATCTCAGTATTGGTATCACTATCGACCTCTTTATCGATCTCACTATTGATCTCACTATTGATCTCACTATCGATCTCAGTCAACTGGACACCACTGGACACCACGGGACACCGCGGGACACCGCGAGCTACCGCCGGACGGACGGACGGACGGGCGGGCGGGGGAGAATGATTTGTCTTGATTTCGCCCCAGCAACGGCGAATACCACGGGACACTTCGGGACACCACGGGACACCGCGGGACACCGCGAGCCAACGCCGGACGGGCGGGCGGGGGAGAATGATTTGTCTTGACTTCGCCCTAGCAACGGCGGACACTACGGGACACCACGGGACACCACGGGACACTGCGGGACACCGCGAGCAACCGCCGGACGGGCGGGCGGGGGAGAATCATTTGTCTTGACTTCGCCCTAGCAACGGCGGGTTCATGCCTCTCGCGCGCCCACGCAGCTTCGCCCGCCCGCGCGCACGACACGAACGAAACGAAACGATTTCCCGGTTGGGGGTTTCCGTTCCACTGCGATCTCACCCCCCAATCTCCGACCAGTAATTCGGGGGGCCCACAGACGTGTGTGACCGACCGCGTGGCGACCTCCGAATCCCAATAGACCTCACCGCACGTTCCGTCACCACACCGTTTTGGGACCCTGGAGCTCCCAGTCGCCCGAGCTCGGAGAACGAGCAGAGTCCCAAAACTGCGCGGGGACGCCGAATCCCAAACCTGGCGGCGTGGTCACCACACCATTCGGGGATCCCCGAGTCATGGTGACGCCAGGAACGAGTTCGCTCGTGGATGCCGATGGCGGCGCTCGTGTTGCGTCATGGTCGGAGGTAGTTTGGCACAGTGAGTGTAGACATGCTGTCGTAGGGTGCGCGGTGCTCGCTCAGACTGTGCACAGAAGGCTTGTTTTCTACACCAGTTCGGATCGTCATGCGTTGTTGAAGCCATCGCCCTAGACTGAGTTGTTCAGGCAGCCGATCATTGCACCGCAGCCTCGCCCAAGCGGCCTACCTTGCACAGCAGCGCCTCGAGTTGCGTGCGAAGAAACAGGGAGGAGGCCTAGGCAGGTGCGGCAATTCTCGCGCAGAAGCCCCGTTCCTGCTCGCCGCTCACAGGCTGTCGCGCCCGAGTGCCGAGGATTGTTTTTCTTGCGCGGTGGCCGCTGCCAGGCGAGTGGGCCCGCGCGTGCCCTGAGGTGCGCGCCTGCCCCGGCGCCCGCCTCTCCCGACGGCCGGCTTCGCCCGCGCTGCTTCCTCGTGCGTGCCTGCCGTCTGCCTGCTGTCGGCGTCACCCCAACATGCTTATGTTCTCTGTGTTAGTCGCCCCCCAGGGGCGACGCGCGCCACGAGCAGTCTTACGGTATGTGCGTCGTGAGGGGTGTTTTCTGGCCACACCGCTGGGGAAACGACACACCGCAGGATGGGTATACTATGTGTTCGGGTCGGACGCGCGCCTCCGCGGAGGGCATCTGGTACTAGTCTGTCTCTGCGTGTCCCCCACTGCAGCGGCCGCCCTCGCTCCTGCTCATGGCGCTCGCACCAGGATCCCACGGCGGCGGCCCCCGCAGGGCTCGTGGCGACCCCTCCGACTCGGTTCGGTTTCGATCTCGATGCTCCCCGATTCCGATTCGTTTCGATCTCGGCTCGTGGCCTTCGGAGTAGCATGACGTTATTGCTCCAGGGCAGTGTCTGCAAGCTTGTCCTCTGTATTTGGTCACCAGATGGTGGCCGCAGGGTGCAGAGCGGCTGTCGGAGCTTTCTGTTCTGGCCACGGATATCGTGTCCGTCACCTTCTCGGCCTGTTCCCCTCTCTCTCATTCTTGTTATTTTTTTTCTTGTCCGCTCTGCAGCGGTGGTGTTATAGTACACTCGCAGAGCTGAAACAGGGGCCTCCGCAGGAGCTCAGTGTTTGTGCTCACGTCGGTTTGTGGGCGCCCTAGGGAGCCTTGGGATGGTATCAGACATTTGTTCGTTGAATGTGGCAAGCCGTCTATGCCGTTGACAGTTGCTTGTTTATGTCCATCGGTCAATGTTTACGACCAGCATTGAGAGCGGGAGTATTGATTGGTTACGATGGGTGGATGGGGACGCTGACGGGAGAGGAAGCAATCAGAGAGGCACAAGAGCGTGGAGCTCAAAAAAATCCTTCATTTTGACTTCCTGGGGTAGGTGAAGGGACACACTCCGCACCGACCACCACAGGACTTATCAATATGTGTGATAGTAGTCGTTCGATGTTCCCCTTGATCGTTGCACCTACTCATGTTCTCCGCGGTCAACGGTCCGTCGTCTGTTGGTTGTTTGGGCTCGATGCGAGTCATCATTTGATGAGGTGTTCTTCTGTAGTTGAACAGGTTCCTGGCGATCACCCGACCCCACTCTCTGCTCACGAGGTTGTGTCAGCCCTTTAGTTCTGCCACTGAGGTTTCACACGCTACGACGACCTGACCTGTGCGAGCGCACCCTCAGGCGGCTTATTCCGACCCATGTGCCCGTAGGTGTTGTATCGTGTTTGGGATGCAGGGGAGGAGGGGGAGGATACGGAGCAGAAGCAGGCGGAGGCCACGGCGGAATTCGGATACGAGACGTTTCCACATGCTATCAGCAAGCGTGTGTAATGTTTTCTGTTCTCGCAGCGGTGCCTTGTCAGTCGAGTTCCCGTGGGAGGAGGAGGGGGCAGAAGGTCACGGCTTGAGAGAGGGAGAGAGAGAGGAATAGAGGGAAGAATAGTGAGCGGTATATTTACGTTGCATCTTCGGGGGACCTCGCCAGTTCCCCAAACTTGTATCTTTTCTTGTGCCCGTCGCGGGCGCAATGCGGACTCGACTCGGATGTGGCATGGATTCGACGCGGATTCGACACGGATTCGACATGGATCCGACGAATCCGACACGGATTCGACGCGAACAGGGCCGCGACGGGACAGATAAGGTCCCTCGAGGATGCAACATAAGGTTTGAGAGTGAAGGAGAGCGAGCGATATACGCATGCACGAGAGGGTGCGTCTTGAGTCCCCTGGCAAGCCCCCCAAAGGGCCTCCCGCTCCGAACACTTGGAGGAAGGAGGAGGAGGAGGAGGAGGAGCAGGAGGAGCAGGAGGAGCAGGAGGAGCAGGAGGACGAGGAGGAGGAGGCGGAGGAGGAGGAGGACGAGGAGGAGCAGGAGGAGGAGGAGGAGGAGGAGGAGGCAACGGTAGAAGCGGGTGGGGGCCCTCCCCCCTCCCCTCTCTGGGCCTCCCTGATGTGGGCGGAGCAGATGGGGTCGGAGGATCGTGCCGCCTTGCCGATGCATCGGCGATGCATCGGCGATGCGGCTCGACGTGGGGCCCAGTTTTCTCCATTCCGATGTCGCCGATGCGTCGCCAACGTCGTCAGCGCATCGCCGAGGCATCGGCGATGCATCGCCGATGTGTCGCCGATGCATCGCCGATGTGACGCGATGCTTCGACCCCGTCTACTCCGACCCCATCTTGGAGGCCTCTACTCACTCGCAGGCAAGCAAGCAAGCAAGCCGTGCATCATGACGACGCGTAGGCAAAGAAATTACTAAAAAGTTATGGTGGTGCGCCAAACGCTTCCAGGGACAGAAATTGGTACGTAAAGAATGGGCACAAAGCCCAACATCGCTTGTTGTTCATGCTAAACAGGAGTCGCTGTCGGCGTCGCGGCGTTTGTTGTACATTCGAGACACAAGCTCACCTGGCCAACAGCGGCCGTTGTCGGTTCGGACAGCATTTGTTGGTGGGCATCGTACTCATTTTTTCCGTATCCACTTCAGGCGTCCAAACCATTCTTCGGCTCCTGGACCAAGGAGAGGGTGGCCTTTCCCAAAGGCGCCGGCGACGACGGCGACGACCACCACCACGACCATGACCACGACGGTGTCGACGGCGATGATGTCGACGACGGCGACAACGACGACGTTGACGACGTCACAGACTAAAGTTCACCTTTGATGTCCAGATCGCCCGCCCGACTGGATGCTCAATCTCCGAGCGAAGGTTGCATTTCATGTTCCGCCCGCCCGACCGGCGTCGCCGGAGGGAATCATATTCGCTCCTGGGACTCATCGCAGAGTAGAGTTCACATGTTCTGTCTCGCCCGCCCGCCAGACTGGACAGCCCATGATCGAGCGAGGCAGCACTTGATGTCCCGTCCGCTCGACCGGCGTCGTCGGTGTCGTCGGTGGTTGTATGAGAAAGTATATAGATACATTCTGCGAGCATGGCCTCTAACGTCCCGCCCGTCCGAGCGGTGGGGTCGGTGTTTGTACGTAAGAATATTTACACAGACCCATCGGTCGTTGAAAGTAGGTATTTTTGGATTCCCAGATTCCAATCAATTCTATTGTCAGCGCCTTCCTACTTCAATGATCGAGTGGCTTCACCTCTTCCGTCCTCTTTAGGGGGCGAGTGGACACCCAATCTATTTTCAACGCCTTCCTACTTCATGTTTCTACGTACTTCTTCCGACCGATGGGTGCACATTTGTATACACATGTGTTGCCCCGGTCCTGTCTCATCACAAGGTGCAGTTTTCGTTCACTGTCCCGCCCGCCCGCCCGACTCGACGCCCCCTCAACGAACAAGGGTTGCATTCGATGCCCCGCCCGCTTGACTGGCGGTGTCAGTGGTTGGGAGAGACTTCCTCTGCATCATAGGGCGAAGCGTGCCTTTAGAATCTCGCCCGCCCTCCCCAGTGGACGCTCCCTCATCCGAGCGGAAGTTGCATTCAATATCCACCACGCCCGACGGGCGTCGCTGGCGTGTACGTATATACGTGTGTATTTATTTATACACATACATCGGGAGCCTTCCCCCAGCTGCCCCGGGTCGCCATGGGGGCTCCGGGCTCCCTGGGCACCCTCACCAGCGGCCCGAGAGCCGCCCAGACGGACATAATTAAGTGGCGTCACGCGGACAGCAGAAGGCTTCGAGATGTCCCGCGGGGCTTCCGGACTGCCCCAGATAGCTTCAAGACGACCCCAGAGGACCGCTTCCAGACCACGGAAGCGGACGTCGGTCCGAAGTGCCTTTGCACTTGGCTTGGATAGCCACTCCTCGTCGGAGTCTTCTTCGTAGCCTGGTGGCTCTTGATTCTCGTTGGGGGGCTGAGGCGGTGTCCTCGCCCTTTGCGGCTCCATCCGCCATGACGCAGTCCTCGTCGTCGCGAAAGTTTGGTAGTGCCTCCGCGCTGTGGGGCTTTGGTTCGCCCGATGGCCTATGGTGGTACAACAGCCTGCCTGGCTGCGCTGTGTGAGCGCTGGGTGCAGGGTCCGGCTTGAATACGGAACACTGTTTTTCAAAAGGGGCTCGGTCGTTCCTCTGGTTTGCATGCGTTCCGCTACCTCTTTGGCGGCGCATCCTCCTGGTGTTCCTTCGGACTTCCTGGATTTCCTTGGAAAACTGGGGCTTCGTTCCTTACTTACCTCTCCTTAGGCCAGGCCGAATGCTGTACCTCACCACCCACCAAACCACCCCAACCCAACCCGAAGGCTCAGATTTACCCTCGATTTCCAGTGGGGGGGGGGGTCGGGAAACATCGAAAAAACACATGTGCAACCCTTACCCCCCCCAACCCGAAATTCGGGTCTTCGGGTTGGCTTGGGGTGGTCTGGTAGGTAGTCAGTGCCCCTCCCCGCGCTGGTGCCACGCGTCTGCTCCTCCGGAGGCGGGGTGCCAAAGGGCGGCGTGCCCCTCTTGGCCGGTGCGGCGGCGGCGCCAGCCACGCTTCCAGGCGCGGCCCCTGGCGGCCGCCCGGTCCCGGAGAGAGAGCCGGCGTGGTGCTGGTGCCCGGGCCCCCCGCTGGGGATCCCGGCGTGGGCGCCATGGCTCGGAGGCGGCAACGATCTGAAGCGCGCTGGGCAGCGCTCGTCTTGTCCGGTGCCCTGCTCCTGAGCATGCATTTCCTTCTGCTTCTGCGTCTTTCTGGCCTAAGCCGCAAGCCCGCGGAGGGAGGAGGGGGGGGACGACTGGGGGGGTGGGGGGCGGGATAGCATGGCGTGGGCCATGCTATTTCCCAAGATGGCATTACGCCTCTTCTGATTCTATGACGCCCCCGGCACCCCCCCCCCTGGGCCGCGCACGTGCCGCCGGCCATGATTTGCGCCCCCGCCCTCTTGGACCCCCCCCCTCTTGCCTGCCCCCGAAGCGTGGGCGCCATTGAAGAGATGGCCTCTGGTGGACGAGCTTCTCCGTCGGCGTTTTCGGTTGGTCTGTCTTCGTGGTGGTCTCCACCCGAGTGATGGTCGACGGGATGGTGGATCCTTGGGCGTGAGCGGTGGTGTTGAGGTGTGGCCGCTCTGACGATGGCGAAGTCCCCCTCTGGTGGCTCCTTTCCTCTCGCGTGCTTGACTTCGCAGTGGCATTGGACGGGTCGAAGGCGACTTGCTTGGCTTCGCTCGTGTCGAGTTTCACGTAGATACCTACTCGCTCGTCGGCGCGAGCTGCTCCGAAGGACTTGAACCTATTGGAGTGTTGGTGGGCCGCTTGGAGTCTGATCTGTTGACCGCCTTGCTACCGCGCCGTGATGTATTCACTGGACGCAGGGCCTTTGATTGCCGTGGCTGCTAATGCCGAACGTTCTTCCCCCCGTGGCCTGAGGCGGCCAAAATGGTTGGGACGTCTTTCGGCTCGATGCCGGGCTGCGACGCCCACGTAGCGTCATTGTCTCCTGTACTTGTGCGGCGTGGAAGTGCCAGGCAAAGATGGCCGTGGAGTCACCGGTGAGGTCGTCATCGAGCTGCTTGCGGTGAGGTCGCCATCGAGCTGTTTGCGGGACTTGCCATGCTTCGCCGCCGTATGCCGTTCAATTGGCCCTCTGTTGTGCTGGTGCCTGTGTGCCTCCTGGCTGGCGCGCACCATGGACGGGAGCTGCTCCCGCGGGGTGGGTGGCGAGTCGCTCCTGCAGTGCGGGTGCAGTGGCAATGTCATTCGTTTTGCAGGCAGTTTTTTGCGGATCCAGGTCGCGTTGCCTGCCGGCGCTTGATTTTTGTGCGGCCTAGTTGGTGAGGGGCACGAAACCTTGCAAATAGTATTGGTTTCCAATGCCCTCCTCGCTCAGGCGGGGCCTCCCTGGACGGATGGTTCCTTGTGTGTGTGTGTGTCCTGGTGTGGGCTTGGTAGCCGTAGCCATCCTGCAGAGGACAGGGAGGAAGGCTTCCTTTCCTCGGCCATGCGTGGTGATCGGCCGCAGAACGGCTAGCGCGAGGGGCTTGTCCTGCCAGCGGGTGTGCTGCCCTCCTCCGTCGTGTGAGGGGAGGTGCTGCTGGTATGCGACATGCCGTCCTCCGCTCTCTAACTCTCTCTCTCTCTCCTCCTCCTCCTCCTCCTCCTCCTCCTCCTCCTCCTCCTCCTCCTCCTCCTCCTCCTCCTCCTCTCCTCCCCCCCTCCTCCTCCTCCCTCCTCCTCCTCCTCCTCCTCCTCCTCCTCCTCCTCCTCCCATTCCTCCTCCTCCTCCTCCTCCTCCTCCTCCTCCTCGAAGTCCCCGTTTCGTGCATCCCGTCGTGCACGCTGGCCCCGGCGGGCCTCGGCCGAGGCCGAACGGGGGCCCCGGGGAGGCGCGGCCGGGGAGCCTGCTGTGGCGCGTCGGGGAGTGGTGCAGCATGGCGTGTCTGATGCTGTTTTTTCGGGGGGCGTTTCGGCCCCGAGCAGTGTCGGGCCGGCGAGAGGGGGGGGTTTGGGAAAGGGGGGGTTACGGAATTTGCTGCAGCAGCAGGATTCGGGCCTCACCGAGGGGCCCATTCCTCGATACATTGCCGCCTCCGGCGCCGGGAAAATCAGCTACGCGAGCTGATTCTCAAACCCCCCCTTTGCTATCCCCCCCTTTCGCCCGACCCGACAGTGGCGAAGCATCCTGGCTCGCCTATCGAATCTTTTGCGGTTCCCACGCAAGGTTCTGAGAACATCTCCGGTTGGAGTCTGTCGTGCTTGAACACATCGGGCTGATGTTCTTAGAACATTGTTCTTGTTATTCGAACATTTTGGTTTCTAAGAACACTTTGTGGTAGGACTATAGGGATGTCGGGACGGTCGGTCCCTGCTCAAACACACGTTCATCGGCTCGCCCCTGAACCTGCGATGGTCGGAGCGGCGTCGTTGGCAGGGCTGGGCCTAAACGCTGTTCTGCTGGACTTCGGCTGCGCTTGTTTGTTTTTCGTGTTGGCAGTGGGGTACAGGAAAAGAAGTAGAGCAACCCGAACAACACAACGGAAACCTAAACGGATTAGCGTGGCAAAGGACCCAACCATATGTAGTTGTGAGTACCGCATTTATGGGTATCGCATCCGGTGGAGCTCCCTATGGGGCCACGAAGCGCTGCACTGGGTGGGGGAGACGTATGCGAAGTTTGCCACTGGGCATTCGGTGGAGCTCCCTATGGGCCACGAAACGTTGTGCTGGGTGGGGGAGACGCATGCGGACTTTGCCACTGGGGCGTTCGGTGGAGCTCCCTACGGGGCCACGAAGCGCTGTATTGGGTGGTGTGTGACGCATGCGGGCGGTCCCACTGGGACCTTTGGTGGAGCTCCCTATGGGGGCACGAAGCGCTGTACTGGGTGGTGAGTGACGCATGCGGGCGGTTTCACTGGGGCCTTCGGTGAAGCCCCCCATGGCCACGAAACGTGTGAGGGGTGTGCTGAAACGGGTGATGCTGACGAAACGCAGGAAGGAGGGAAGGAGGAGGGGGAGGAGGAGAGGAGTGACGCGGGGAGCTGTCTCTTCACAACGAGTACCCAACACCACGGGATGGTTGGGAAAAACAACGTTTGTATTCAGCCCTGGTTGTTGGTAAGTGGTGTCGAGTTCGGTTTGGTGGTTGTGAGCGTGTTCGATGTATGCGGCGACTGTTCGGTCGGCGCCGCCGCTGCTCGGGAGTGCGGCGGCGCGGGCGTCCTTGCGGCTCAGGTCCGAATCCTGGGGGAGCGTTCGAGGTTGCCTGCAAGTGGCCCTTGCCTGTTGGCTTGGGCCGCGGTCGTGCTGGCGGCGCACGGCGTTGACCTTTGGGATACATGGCGTGCGCGGAACAGAGTAGGTCACCGCTCACCAGACCTTTCCAGACCAACCCGAATGCCCCAACGTGCTTTCCATTTCCAGTTGGGGGCGGTCGGGGAACCTTGAAAAAAACACATCTGGACCCCGTACACCCTCAACCCGAAATTCGGGTCTTCAGGTTGGGTTGTGGTGGTCTGGTTAGTAGTCAGTAGGAGGTGACCCCGACCAGTCACGCGCTGCTTGGCGTGCGTCCCGCCAGCCCCGTGACGCGTTAAAGCGGGGATGATTGGCGCTTCGCGTCGTGGTGTGGTCTCGGCTTAGGTCGGAGGACCCCGGGCCGAGACTAGGAGGAGAGGGGGATGATGGGCCTGTTTTCCACCACCACCACCACCACCACAAGTTGGAGGGGGGGAGTCCTCCTCTCCCTCTTCTTCCTCTTCCCCCTCGTCCTCCACCTCCTCCCCCCCTCGAGCTTATGGTGGTGGTGGTGGTGGTGGTGGTGGAAAACGGGCCCATCAGAGGAGAGGGCGAGGGGATGGGGAAGCCTTCGGAGAGAGCGGCGACGAATCCGAAGGAAGGTCGAGGGGGAGGGGGGGGGAGGGCGAGGGCGGCGGGGGGGGGGCAGGGCGGAAGGCGGGGCGGGCCGGAGAGGAGGGGGAGGGCGGCGGCGGCGGCGGGAGGCGGGGGAAGGGAGTGCTTGGCATCGCTCGGACGTGTGCATTTTTCCTTCGGCGAGGACCATCGAGGAGCATCCTTGATCATTGGACGAAAAAACCGCGCACGAAACCGTAAAAAAACACAGGGAATGGAAGTCCGAGCGATGGCCAGGGGGGGGGGCGACTTCTGGAGGTCTTCGGAGGGAGGGCGGCGGAGGGGAGGGGTCGGCGAGCAGGAGGGGTGGAGGGCGCTAGGGGGCGGGCAGGGGGGGGAGACTTCGGAAGCCCCCCCTCGAGGCCCACAGCTGAGGGAGGGGGGGGGAGGGGATGGGAGGGGGGCTTCGAATCTGCGTTTCGGGG